GTACCTAATCGGTCTTTGTTAAATCGTACGTACTTTTACAGAAATTGTTGTGATCAGCAATGTACTTATTCTGGTTTTCTATTTCATTCATAGTTCGCATGCCAAATTTAACTATCCGAAACTGGTTCGCAAATGTATAGACATTCTATTAAATTACAATGTGAATTATTATAAGTCTCCTTTTTGGTACTTGCCAAAAACTCGACTACCGGGATTTAAATTTAAAAAAATGTGATTTAGGTAACCTATTGGCTATTGATCTATTATAAAATAGAAATTGAACCAACCAATAATATCACTATATAAAATAATTAAATGTGATAATTTGAAGACAATTTCTTAAAACCTCTAAAATATTTTTTTAATTTAGTGTTATAAATTTATACCCTATTATTTTATATCGTTCAAATTTCCTTATGCTTATGGTCACATATTTTTAAGTGTTTAACCAAAGCGTACATCAATAATATTCACATACCTAAATTATAAACGTCCGAGATGATTATTATTTCAATAGATCAATATATTATATAATTTAGTACGGACCTATTGACTATTAGCTATCTAGTACATAGTAACTACATACCAACGTAAGGACTTGTTGCCTGATGGTGTTCAATATTTTCGGAAGTGGCCCGCCTTAAATTTGGCACACTTAAATTGAAATGGTGTCCGTTAGTAAATAACATAATATAAGATTATCTTTCGATGAATAATTTATAAATATCATCCATAATATAATTAGGTATACAAATATATAGTACCATTAGTAGGTACCTGTTATATACAGATGTACTATATAGGTAGGTACCTACATATTCTATTAATTACTAATTATTACTATACAGACATATACCTGAATATTACTTTTAGTCATTACTAATTCATATTCTAATACCATGGATGATTGTGCACTGTGGAGGAGGCAACAAGATTTTTTTCCTAAGTTTAGTATGATTTTGTTATGCGATTGATAACTCATTATTAAACTATTCGATAATCATTCCCACACAGCAATCGTACATTTTAAAAATATTTTGGAAACATTTCATGAGCCACAAAAACATTGTTACAAAATGCAGATACATGTTCAAAAAGTGTATACATATTGTAAACATATTGTCAAATCATGATTTGACAGAGAAAAACACATGTTCACAACATTTTACTCTTAGGTTGTCAACACATTTTTAAATATTTTGTAGCAATATTTCTGCTAAACATTGTCAACATATCTTAAACAACATTTTGTTACAATATTATTAGCTTTATGTTTTCAAAAGACGTTAAAGACCATTTTTTAACAATATGGGGTTTTAATTTTGTCAACATATTTTGATAATGGTTTGTAACAATGTTTCACTGTTATCATTGTGAATATATTTTAAGTAACATATAGTTGCAATGTTCAGTGCTATATTTTCAAAACATTTTTGAGAACATTATTAAAAATTTTGTATATTTATATATATATAAACCAAATATTTGGTATACTTGTTTAACCATTTAATTCAGTGACATGTTTAACAATAATGTTAATATTCATTAATTCACAATTGTTAAAATGGAGTCAATCAAAAAGACAAAAATTACTATCAATCTTAGAAAAAAAATGTTTTATATAACACATATTCCTAGTAAATATATTCAGAAACAAAATAAATCATATTTAAATTATATTATAGGTCATATAATAGATTAATAATGCCTATATTATGTATATGTAATGCAGTAACTGAAAACATTTCTTTTTATTAATAAATAAACACAGATAGACAAAAGTTTTATTATAAAAAGTTATATTATCAAAAGCAGTGGCGTATTTTAAATTTTTTTCTGGGGGTGGTCCAATAATTCCAACATAATATAGATAGGTACAGTACCTATAGTAAGTAACTGATATATAGAAATAGTTTTTAATAGATTATAAGAATAAAAAATAGTTGATTTATTATCTATATATATAAAAATGAATGTATGTCAGTGTGTCAGTGCGTCTGTGTGTCCATGTTACCATGGTTACCAAGGTTGCCATGGTTACTAAGGTTACCAAGATTTCATATCAATCTATATATATAAAAATGATCATATGTCAGTGTGTGTGTGTGTGTGTGTGTGTGTGTCCATATTACCATGGCAACCATATCTGTATATAAAAAACAGTAAGCTGATTGACTGCTATCAACGCACAGCTCAAACCATTGGACGGATCTGGCTGAAATTTGGCATACGGATAGCTATTATAATATAGACGTGCGCTAAGAAAGGATTTGCCAAAATTCGCATTTTAAATAGGTGCTGAAACAGGGACATTGAGATTCACGATAGAAATTGGAAATTTTATTTTTATTTATTTATAGTTGCCATTGGTTACAGTCTACATTAGAAATTAGCATTTATTTATTGGTTGCCATTGGTTATTCGGGCAGATCAGGTACAAGCTTGCATCAAATCGAATTATTGAACAATGCTTACCAGGGTGGCAGAGTTGCACTCACCGCAGAAAATTACACCCAAAAGGAGTTCAACAATCATAATTTTTTTAAGAGTTGCGATTTTTTACGAGCAACCAAATTTATTATATTAATCCACAGTATTACATCAAAATAAACTTGGTATAACGTTGATACTTTAGAGTTAAATCATACACTTCCGTACAAACAGCACGGGGTCCGCGATCTACCGCAGGTAGATTGCCTACCTGATAATGTACTGCTGCGATTCAGAATTTTTATTCAGGGCAACGGGAAAGATAAGATAAATTTTGAACACCATACACGTTAATGAATTGAACAAAGTTTGAGTAGGTAGTATTGAGTTGATCCATTTAACGGGCGACGAAGTGCACGGGATCAGCTAGTATTTTATAATTTTCAAGTACAAAATCCAAGTGTCTTTTTTTTACAAAGTTTTATTTTTTTATTTGAAGACATATTTATTCCAATTCCAATTTCCAAACAATAAATAGATACAAATAATTTATAAATTATACAACTATAAAAAAAATAAAAAAATAAATTTGATGCCATTTATTAAATAATTATGAAATGTTAGGTTTTGTCAAATCTGTATTTACACCTATCACAAATGAGAGACAATAATTATTCTCATTACACGTTGACAATTAATATTATTTCCATAGCAGTTTAATAATACTATGTTGTCAACTTCGTGTTAACACGTAAAAATAATGAAAGGTTTAAATTATAGTATAAGTAAATATCACTCTGCTAATCTCTGAACAGAAAATAAATACTAAGTAGGCAAACATGGTTCTAAATGAATACTAATTGTCGGCCAGTTGACTCCAAAAATTACATTAATGTTTTATGTTATTATAAAAAATAATAAATTCTTTACTGCTCACATCGGATCAATGAGCTATTATTATTATTTACTACCTAATTTACTAGGTATATATTTAATTTGTACTTACATAAGTAATAGATCTAATATTATATTTTATCGAAGAAATAATATTCAAATACATGCACTCGTAGCCGACGCCGTCGTTCGGTAACAAAATACAAACATGAAGTAATTAGTAAATGATTCTACGACAATTGCCGTGTTTACAAAGCAAAAATTTAAATAGATAAATAATAGCTACCAGCTATACTGTCCTATAGAAATAGTTTATTGGAGAATGATGTGCGTCGTCAATTTCTTGCGATAAGAATGTTTTGACTTTTTTGAGAATTATTGATGTTTATCTAATATGGGTATTTTATAAATAGTGTAATACTACAATACAAGGATAAGTTTAGTTACACGGGTTTTTGAACGTTCGGTCGTTGGCTAATTTTAAACTATATTTCATATAAATATTTTGTTCACGGGAAAAAACCTTGTCTGCGTGTGCTTACATAAATATCGGGGTCTGCAAATATGTAAAACATTTTTTTTCGGAGAGATTCTGGGGGGGGTCCAGTACCCCTGGACCACCCCCGTAAATACGCCACTGATCAAAAGAACATAATATTATACATAAAGTAATATAATAAAACAGAAAACTATTAAAAGTAGCTGTGTACAAAAATAAAAAAAAATTATAATACTGTTTTTCATTGATATTTTAAAATAATTATAACATTATAATTATTAATAATATAAATTATATAAAGTAAAATAAAATTATACTGATGTTTCTTTCTTAAACATAGTATAATATTTTATTATATAATACTGAAGAATATAATAGAATAATAACATAATTTACACGACATATTATATATTGATAATAATAATAATTTAGTAATAATAACATAAAATAATACTTAGTTAAATAAACCATGAATAAATTTTATTGTGAATCTTGTTGAGGATTTTTAGCTGATAATTTTTTGATTCTATTAGAAGCTTGTGCCAACCAATTTTTTAATGGTTTTTCTTTTTCAGTGTTAGGGAGATTTTGTGAAGAAAATGGTTTCATTTGGCGAATAGTTTCTGAACAAAGAAAAAACAAATCATTTGTTATTTTTCATTGACCATATATCTATATTTATTAATCCATTTACAGGCTTAAATACCTATACTATCTATCAATAAGTATTTGAGACGTTTAAATACTAGGTACCTATATATTAATGTATATTGAATACATTTTTTCTACTTTTAAACATATTATATACTTTACATAACATATATTATATATTTACTAAACATATTTCGTATTTTTGTTAAATTTAACGACAACTATTAAAATCTTATCTTTATAATAATATATTATATGTAGGGATGGCAAAAATTTTCCAGACCTCGATATATCGATAACCGATATATCGGATCAGAAAATATCGATATATCGATATATATTTTGAAACTGGTATGTAATAAGTAATCACAATACACACAATTATATAAACAAGCAAACCAATAAAAAAATGTATCTATTAATGCATGTTAACACATGTTAGAAATAACATTTTTTAAATTTTATTTTTACAATATTTAACACTGTATATGCACACAAATGAACATATAGTGGTGTTTGTATTATATCAAAACCAGTATTTATCATCAATTGAGTTTAAAAATAGTAATTTTGACAGCCTTTTTCCCAACAACCTGTTGCGTTCTTTTGATAATGTGGCTCCAGCCTTAGAGAACAGCCTCTCTGATGGAACTGATGTCGCCAAAATACAGAACATTTTCTGACTTTCGTTGTACAGTTGTGGGTACACCGTTTTCATTTCTTCCCATGTTTCAATAGGATCTTGGGAGAGATTTATAACCGGTGTTCCTAAGTATTGCATAACCATTTGGTCTGATGCTGATTCCTGATTTTTAGTTGTTGATTTTGATGATTTTTTTTTTTGATTTTTGATGCGCTAAATTTTTATGATGTTCCCATAAATCAAATTTTTTTTCGACAGCCTCAGGTTGATTATCTTCAGAAGAAGATGATATTATATTATGTTGACATACTAAATTTTTTAACTTTGCAATAGCTTTGGAACAATCAACAGGATCTTTGAAATGAAGGTTCTTAAATCTAGGATCAAGTAATGTAGCAATAGGAAATGAATAGAATTTTTCAATATTCCCAAATCTTTTGTTTAATTCAGCAACTGTAACATCTTTTAATTTTGACCCCAATTCGGTATCAAGTGTGTACAAAGTTATGCTATTATTTAAGCAACTCACAAGTGGAAGGACTTTGCTAATAGTCACATTACGTTGCGATGACATCTCTAAAGTAACGTTTTCAAATGGTCGCAATACTACTAAGACAGCTTGAAGTTTTTGAAGGTTAATGGCGGAAGGCATTTGAGGTGCAGATGGACGATGTAGTAATATATCAGATATTAATGAAGACAATTCTAGAAACCGTTGCACCATGTAATATACACTGTTCCAACGCGTGCTGACGTCTAAAATTAGTTTTTAGCAATTCCCTTCTTTTTTTCCTAAAATTTATGTTACATAAAAATTAGTATAATCATAATGTAAACTAATAATATAAATGTTCATTAAAATAATGTTTACCTTCGTCAATTTGCCTTTTCCTAAGCTGATCACTAGCATGTGTACTGCGTTTGAAATATTTCACAACTTCTCGCACTTTTGATAAGAGATTTAATAACGAATCAGTGTTTTTTATTACGTTTTCAACCACAAGATTGATTGTGTGTGCAAAACATGGAATGTGTTTTTCAACACCAAATAAATCTTTAGCTGCTTTCACCATGTTTGCCCCCATTATCGCTAGTAATTCCTACAATTTTTGATTTGTCAACACTCCATCTATTTAAACAATTTGATATTTCTCTGGATATGTACTCGGCAGTGTGTGATCGATTAAGTTCAATGACTCCAAAAGTACCTGTTAAACAAAGATTGTTTTTGTTGTTGGTACATTTTGCAAGTTAAATGTTTAAATTAATGAAAGATAATACACAAACCAGATTGTAAAGATTGGTTTTCCAAAAAATGTATAGTTAAACCAAGATAACTCTTCATCTGTTGGGTATCAGTCCAAATATCAGTTGTCAGTGAAAAATAATTAATATCTTGCAATGCTAAACGAAATCACGTTTCAACAATGGAATACTTTTGGTCTATAATATTTTTCATTGTATTTCTTGAGGGAACTTTGTATAATGGACATACTTGTTTCATCATATGAAGAAATCCCTTTCCCTCAACAGTAGAAAATGGCTTATTATCTTTACAGATATAATAAGCAATTGATTCATTTATACGGTGATATTGGGAACCGGCAACTATAAAAATAAATTACTAATATTACTTAAGTGTAATTTATAACAAAATATTTATATAGTTATAGTTTAAAGAAAATTAGAAGTATAAGCAGCATTTACATGGAACATAAAATATTTTATATGTGTATAGAACAACCTTTCTAAAAATGTATGAGATTCAAAAAAACAAGCATTAGCTCACAAAACTTATCATTCATTGAATAACTTACCAGCTATTGATGATATCTGGCCAAACATTTTGTCAATATTTTGTTGTTTAGGAATACACAATCTTGACAATTCATCAACAACACCATATGTATCACTTGTGACGCTACAAATCTAAATGGTAAAGGTTGAAAAAGTCTTAGAATATTATATAATCTATAGCCATTTTGTCAGGATACTATCCCAATCTGCCTAAATTTTAAAACCTATAAGTAAAATTACCTCATCTGGATCGTCTGGATCATCAACCACATTGTCCAAACTAGAAGATGTTTTTCGTTTTCGTTTTCTGTATTCCTGGACCTGGCTACTACTTTGGCCACAAGACACAAAGCTTGAAATCGCAACCTGTTTTTTCTTGGTTGTGCTTGTGCCTTCGGTTTCATCCGCGTTCTTCTTGGTATGCTTTTCGAGATGTGCTTTAAGATTTGACGTATCTAACTAATCTTGAAGAAACATTTATATGATTGAATTGATACATAATAATTTTAATTAATGTTAAATAATAAAACTTTAATTCCTGAAATGTGATCATTTTAGTTATTGTTTTAAATTTAAATATACTTGTAATTATAGTTAATAATTATAAATATTAAATATTGTTAGTTAAGAAAAAATAAGGTATAAAAACAATTTATTATTGTTTAAACAACCTATATGTACATATATTTACCTTCTATATTATACTAAATATTAATTTTATCTCAACTTTGCAAATAATTTGAATTTAGTTGTCAATACCCTCAAAGCTTAACTAATATTTATAAATAGCAAGTTTTATAAAAAATATATGTATTATTAATAATTTTGTACCTAATTGACAACTAAAAATTTTAAAATTTGACAAAATATAGTTTTTAAGTTATTTTTACAATACTGGTGATAATAGTATTTATATGATGTTTATAAGTTATAACATTTAATATGAATCGGTTTGCTAATCATTTTAATAAGTTATTGGAAATTTTTACTATTGATTCCCCAAAGTAAAAACTTCTAATTTGTTAACAAAAACCTCCATCAAAATCAAAGATTCGAGCCTTTTTTTTTCTACTTAAAACTTGTGTTATGAAGTTTTATATAAATTTCAATGATTTTAATCATTGCACTGAAAAAATCTAAAAAGTGATAATAATGAGTATTAAGTCATTTGCTTAAATAGTGAGCTACATAAAAATTGTGAGAAAGGCAAGTGAGTGAAAAGTCTGTATATCTATTAAGACATGAGCGGAAAAGTTCATTACCAAAATTGTATAAATAAAAAATTGGTTAACTTTTATAAATTACTAATAATAACTATGTAGATAGTTATTATGTATGGAGTATTAAATTGATTAAAATTGCATTAAAAATATTTACCAAATATCACGGAGCAAGTTTGGAGTGTAGAGAAATTTTCTTTTCCTTTAAATCCTATGTAGGAGTAGTTAGTTAGAAAATTACCAGTGAATAATGTTTGCATAATTTTTCTTATAGTTTCAGACAAATTCTGTCCTCTGTAACGAGCTAGTTCTTTAATCTACATACAAAATAAAATTCAGTAATTATAATCTTATTTAATTTGAAAGTAATGTAATTTGCTATTAATACCAATTTTCTTTTATATGTTGTATCGTTTAATAATTTGTCCTCAAGATCATTTAAATCAGTCGCAGTATCCACACGAGTTATAGTGTTATCAAATGAATCTTCGGTAATATTGGCAGATACACATCCTTGTAATCTTTCATTAATTTTTTCTTGCATACACATAATAATATCAAGACGATCTTGTATATTTTTTACTTCATGTTTGAGAACAATATGTTGTCTGCTAACCAATTTTTGAAAGTCTGGAAAAAATAAATACATTAAAATGTAATTAAAAATTTCTGATATATTTGTATTTTTTAAAACTTTGAATGTATCTATATATAATATACATTTATACATTCAAAGTAGGTACAGTAAAACCTCTCTTTAAAGGAATCGCTTGGGCTGACAAATTTTTCCGTTATAGGGAGACTAAAATATAAGTTATTCAAGGACGTTGTTATTTTCCTTTAGGGAGATTTCCGTCTTATGGGGTGTCCGTTTGACATGTAAAATTAAATCATTTATACAAAAATCTATAAAATAAATTTTGTAAATTTTTTTTTTTACGTTTAATAAAGATAATAAATTATAGAATTTGTTAATACCTTTAAATTGATTTTCGAAATCAAGTTTTTTCCCTGACAATGTTTTAGATGTTGACGGGAGTTCATCAACTGGATCAAACTTAAGTCTTTTATTATTTGTATCAGACAATTGAGAACTAATTGGAGTTGAATAACTATCTGATTTACTTTCATAATTATTTGGGGGCGATAACGACACTTCAAATAATTTATTTTTCATTTTTGGGTTATATGATTTGTCCACATCTGAATTCTGTAATTTAATTATTTATAATTAACAAATAATAAATATAATATTTCTACAGTTATATAACATTATAATAATACTTTATTTATTAATTTAGAACTTTTTTAAATTGTACACTCCAGATAGAGATTAGCCATAACATTTTTACTATTAATATAAATTATAAGATGGATAAGGTTAAGGCTTGGGAAATGAAAAAAAAAATTGCAGTTGCACTTAGATTAAATATTATTTTATTTTTTTTGTCATAGTCATTGGTCATGGTTGGCTTGATGAAGAAGCTATTCATTATTAGCACTTCATGATGGGATGGAGATTATAAATATAAAATTTAAAATACTAGGTGTATTGTTTCACTTTCAATATCTGTATAAGACTATATATATTGAAACAATATAATATTTAATAATTATATATTATGAAATCTTTATAATGGATTTTTTTCTTACCATCACAACTCAAACTAAATAAAGGTGGACTTGGTGGTTTAGAATTGTTTAAATAACGTTTTTGCTGTGTGGATGTGTGATTTTTCTTTTCAATAATATTTTCATGGTCTGTCGATAAGTCTGATGTTACTTGTGCTTTTCTAGCTTTTAATCGAGCTACTTCAATTTCAGCTAAAATGAAATTATAAAAAAATATTAATTAATGTAAATCCATAGAATTATTAAATTATACATAATTACCTATACTTACCAATATCTTGACTCATTATACGTGCATTTTAATAAATAAATGCATCTGGGTTTTCAGCCGGGTCTACTCTTTTTTCAATGTAGCTACGCACGTTAGCTCTTTTTTTTGGCCAAGCACAAACTCCTTTGTCCATCCAAAATTATGGAATGAAATCTACCGAGTCGTCAATTTCAAAACAAACAACACTCCACATATTACTGAAATGAATTGCTTTATTACAACATAATATATAATCATACAAAAAACATAGGTATGTTTGTATAGAAAGAGAGAGACAGGAAAACATATACATACATAAATGTAGATATTTAAAATGTTATATTTTAGTGAAAGTACTAATTGTAAATATTATATAGGTACTAGGTAGACCCATCATAACTCAATTTGTTTTATCTAGGTACAAACTACCTATAAAAATTAAAAAATTTGATGAACTAACAAATTTTTTAAAACAGTATCATATTAATTATTTTATATAAAAATTATACCTATACAGACTATAGATAAAGGTTGATATATTAGGTACCTGCATACATAATTAATTATATTAAATAATAATAAATATTAAAATTAAAATAATAAGTTATAGATAGGTAGATACTATATTATTATACTAAATAATTAAATTAAAAACTTTTTAAAAAAAAGGTAGGTAATAGGTAAGGTACTTGTAATAATAATAATAATTATTATTATTATGTAGATACATCAATACATGTATCAACACATACATCAATGCATCATAATTAAATCAACGTATTGACTTAATTATGATGAAGTATAGGTAGTAGCCTAACCTATAGT